GCCGAATAAGCCATGCATCATGCGAATTACTTTGCAGATAATATTGCAATATGGACCCGTACATGGGGTATACTTGCCTAGTTTCTCACGTGAGTGAGAATTTAGAAGGGTGATCTGATCTTCTCAAAGTTTTGGTTTTCCTCGTTTTTTTAACGTCTGAGTACGTGTTGCACCATTCTACGGGATGGCAGGACGTGGGATGACATATATTTCGCATGTACTCGACGCGGGCTATTAGAAAAACAGGTGTTCGTCTCTAACCAAGTACTTTCGAAATGGACGAAAATCCTGTGGTATTTTCCTTGAAAGTAGACCAACGGCGAACACTTGTTTTTCTAATAGCCCGCGTCGAGTACATGCGAAATATATGTCATCCCACGTCCTGCCATCCCGTAGAATGGTGCAGCACGTACTGAAACTTTGAAAAACGGGGAAAATCGGCTTTAAAAGCCGTTTTTTTCTACCATTAAATGTTTCTATTCGCAATACGAACCACTTCACCGGATAGAACGTGAAAAGGCGCGTCGAATGCATATCTTGTTGTCTTTTGTTGATATGATTTTATGGGGGGAAAGTGGTTTAGCCAAATGACTCCTAGTCATTTTATGAAAATCGATGAAAACAGGTCCAAATCGGAAACTCCCAAAATCACTGTTTTGCCTTGTGAATTACTTAGAAGAAAAGTTTATACATGATATGGAACTCTATTGGTGCTATTGATACCAAATCTTAGTGAAGCATATGTCAGTTCTAGCTGTGAGATATTCTCCTGTTTTTTTGTTTTGTGTATATATCTTAGCACAGAAATACGATAACATCATAATTTTTTTTAAATATGAACTGTTCAGTTCTTTATGAAAAACCTATTGAATACTTTTCTACATTTAAACATGTTCGTCTTATTGTGGCTGCAAGATCAACAGCTTTACTCCAACGGTTATCGTCTCTTACTTCAAATGCTCCTTCGGCGGCTGATCCATCATTGAATGTTGAATTACATTTAGGAATATTAAATAGAATTTCAAATGAATCTCCACATGTTTCTTCTGAAATATCACACCCGAACTCTGATACAACAACGACCAGCGATCTGGAAAAGATTCCTGCGCGAAGCGAGGAATTATTATGTGATTTTATCGTATACAATTCTGGTTTGTTGAAATTAAAATCAAATACGATTAAAAGCATCAAATAAAAAAATTTGGCACCTCGAAACTCCTTTAGCTGCATTAATGAAAAAATTCAACTCTCAAGTGTTTTTGCTGTTGCGGGCAGTCAAACGTTTGGAAGACAAAACAAAAAAAAGCATTTACACAAAAACATTTTTCCAATAGTGGAAAAACGGTCAAGAAGTTGAAAACTGAATCTTTGAATTGAAAACTAAGCTTTCATGCATTGTACAGGCTATATTCGTGATCCGAGTGAAAAATTGCATCTACTGATCTGTTTTTGAGATCGAATAGGGAAAAGAATTCTGGAAAGCGTCAACACTGATCAACAAGCAGGATCATAACCATCAGTTATCAATAAAGACAATCAAAGTTCTTTGCAAGATGAAATGAATCGCTCAATACGTCAAGCTGTCACCTTCACGTCAATCGCGCATTGAAACCTTTGGCTACTAGCGCTTTCATATACCTCACTGCTTTCCGAATATTGGGGCGCTCAATATAACTATATAATGATAACAGAGAATCTGAAGAGATTTGTGCGAGACCTGTATGTGAAGAGATTTATTAGGTGTAAAAACTTGTGTTATACACGCCGTCGCTTATTTTTGTATAATCATTTTGTCAAAAAAGCTACTAAGTGCTCAAAGTAAGTTTAAGTGGCGTAACAATTAGCTTCGCTTCGGTATAGACAAAAAGTTTCCAATAGCTAAGACGCTTGATTGATTTCTCGGTCATTCACAGTTCCAGAGAAACAGAGGATCCCGTCAATTTGTATCCGATGGAAGCAAAGAACAAATATTCTTAATAAACACTTACTGCAAAGCCTTTTAGAAGCCTCTTGACAAAGTAACTACATCTGCTTTTTCGGCTGTGAACTCTTATACTTGCGAAACAAAAAGATTTGGAAATTAGCAGCACGTCTAATTCTTTTTAAATCTATTTATAAGCCATAAATCCACCATATCTCAAGGATTTGTCATTTATAGTTAATCGTTTATTTTTTTTATTTTTATATTTGATTGTTAATGTTAGCTCCTTCTTTTTCCTCTGATTTCAATCTACTTTCCCTTGTTATCTTAATACATAATGTTAAACGTTAGGCCTAAAATGACCTTGTCGCTGGCCTTTGCTACTATGAATCAGTAAAGTTATAAAACAAGTAACTACATTTGCTAATGATAATTACATGTATGACGATAAAGCTGAACGCGATCTTACTTATAGCGTTGTATTGTGATCTAATTTTTTCCATGTATGGAATGCTCGTATAGCGTGCTTGCATTCTAGTTTTATTCGGCATCTATAAGATCACAATCTCATTCTAAAAAGTCTTATCAATACTGTTAGTCGTTATTAATATCACGAAAATGTAATCTGCGTTCTATTCATCCAACATGTCAAACATTCCGTCGTTTTGATCCTTCTGCGTCCTGTTGTGACGCTCCGTAAATAATAAGGATTATTTTTTCTCGCTAAAAACAATGTTGCTATATACACTTAATGAATATCTAACATAACAATCATTCATTGTGTAAGGGCAGTAATTTTCTTTCCTTTCTTAATAAATAAAGGTTGTTTTTATTACAAATCCAAGGTATTTATGAGTATTTCTGTGCGAGAAATATAATCATGCATATACGAATGTTCGTAGTCATCATCATTACAGGTTACAGCGAACATTCTTTTTTTTGTTCGCCTACATATGAAAACACATAAGGACAGATCAAAAGTAACGACGGGTCCGTACCTGTGCCTTCTGTATATAGGTAGATAGTGATAGTCGTACGAAACCGAGCATTACGGTGAAAGTGCAGACACATAAACAACAGAAAACATGATGTTTGCACTCAGGTCAGTCATTTAGAACATCGGCCAAAATATGCATCACATGACATTTCTGTCTACGACGCTCAGAGGGCGCTCAAATTACTATGATGTTATTTCTGTAGATAAATCACACTAGATGTAGAAGAAAATTGTTTTTATCCACAAATGAAATGTTTTCCAATAATTATCATGTAAACAACACAAACCTGTGAAGATTTTCGACGGCGTGTCTAAACCGTTGATAATAAAGGTTTCACATGACTCGCATTTCAGAGGACACTTCAAGCTATCTTTCCATTTAAAGAAACGTGTATGCTCTTACTCGAATTCTTGAAGATTGATAAAGGCTTTCAAGAGACCTTCCGAGTATCGCACATTAAAAAAAAAATTTCCGGTTAAATAAGATGCTATCATGCCTCCTTTTTCAACTGAAAAAATCTGAGACTCTCTGGTTCTGTTGCTTCTCCAGTCATTCAAAAATCTTTCAATGTTTTCCTTCAAGTATGCGTTGCTGCTGAAGGAAGACGTTAATCCGACACTGGGTGGAAACTCTTCATCTCAACATCACAGTGGATGAAAAAGCCAAGGCTTGAGCAGCCTTTTTCATCAAAGAAACTGTGCAACTTGGCGACGTAGTGTGACTGCCGACATTATACTTTTGCTGCTAGCTTCCTGAATCCTAGACACTGTCATTCCTCTCATATCCTCCTTCTTCAGTGCGACGAGTCGAGACGTCAAACTGGGCTGACACAACCAGATTAAGAGGACAGAAAGAAGATTAATTTTATTGAAAACTCCAAACTTAGATGTGAAAAAGTTGTCGCACAAAAATATTTTTCGAGTAATATCGATCACTCTGACAGGCCATATTTCGGCACTAGCTATTCGGTAAAAAATCGGGCAAAGTCATGGAAATATAAATGTTTGTATTAGAAATACATTTACGCCCGGTTAGTCTGCGAAAGCATTGCAGATGTAAGAGCTTGCAACCAATTAAAAGGATCAATTGGAGTTAGATAATTCTACAGAGTGATCCGGCTTGGGCTAGAAAATTGTTAGGAATGGTCGGATCAGATCCTGGCTGAAAAGTATTTCCGTCGCGCCAGTTCAAACTTTTCGATCCATGGGTATCTCTGAGTCAAGTAACCACGCGTAAACTTACGCTGGATTGACTATATCAGTCTGTAACATATAATTTAACCTTACGGACGTCGAACGGCTATAATAATTTTGCTGCGTCCTTTCGGAACAGTCACATTTCGATACTTGTATTATGTTTAATTCAACAAAGTGCTTCGTCTCCTATCATCTTGGAGAATGGAAATGTTGCTACAGGAGTTGCACGGTAAGAGATTTACATCTCTCAGTGAAAAATTTACATTTTTCCATTCAGAATGGCCATGCAACGCGTAGCTCTTAATCACCACCGGTATCGTTCGCGTTTTCGAACGAATCACCACCATAACGGAACTCAGCATGTGGATACTTCCACAAGCAGCCCACATGTGGTGAAAAAGAGATCTACCATTGATAATCTAATCAAAAAAGATGTATGTCTCTACAAAAAGTTCAAAGCGTCATAACTGTACTGATGTATGTTTAGTACTACTACATGGGTAAAATATGTATTGGAACTCCTGCTCAGTGTTTCTATGTCGACATCGACACAGGTTCGAGTGATTTGTGGATAGCATCAAGTTACTGTCCGTCAAAATGTGGTAAGAACAAAATAAATTTCTACTGTACGAAAAATGTCAATTTTTTCGAATCGAGTAAGGTGGAAAAGCAAAGTATGTAGCATCAAAATCAACTTCATACAAAAAATCCGGTGAAAAGTTTCAGTTGGAATACCTTGACGGATCGGTGACAGGCTGGATGGACTGGGATTATGTTACTGTAAGAGTGCCACAAGTATTCGCGCTGCACGATGATAGAGAATCTTTCTCTAAATTATAGATTGGCAATTTAAAGTGCTTCCAAATGTTTGCTGAAGCAAATTCAATGGTCAACCAAGACGGCGCCTACAGTGGTGTAGTCGGTCTCGCATATCCGAAATTAACTACTTATAAAGAAGAATTGCCATTATTCTACAACCTGTGGAAACAAAAGAAAATCTCACTGCCACTCTTCTCCGTTTTTCTCACCACGTATGTCTATGTTTAATTAAAGCTAATGAGAGCGTATCTAAATTTTATTATTTTTAAAGAAGTTCTAAAAGTTCGTTGACCAGTGAATTAGTACTTGGAGGTATCGATAAATCGAAATACACTGGTTCAATAACATACGTACAGGTGTCTCCCAAAGGATATTGGGAATTTAAGTTAACAAAGTAAGCAATCCAGACTTCTCTTGGATCAACTTTAAAATATATTTCCATTCTTTACAGTGTTATGATTGGGCGCACCGTTATCTCTGGTAGTAAGAACACTCCGGCTATTTCTGATACAGGCACAACTTATATCTACGGCCCCTCTAAGCAGGTTAAAGCATTTTATGCGGCTATTAATGCATATCAATATGATAACGATGGCGATGTAGGTATTCTGAGTGAGCAAGCACAGTTATTTTATTTTGTTTTTAATTCAGTATGGCGTTGATTGCGAGGCAATATCTTCACTACCATCGCTAACATTTACAATTAGTGGCGTACCTTTTACATTGCTCCCGCAACACTACATTTACAATGAATCGCTCACAGGAGGAAACAAATTGTGCTTATCTGCAATAAGTGCATCAACGGACACCGATAACGATAGCAGAGAATACTGGCTATTGGGTGACTCGTTTTTACAGCGATTTTACTCTGTTTATAATATGGGTACAAATCAAGTGGGATTTGCTAAATCAGTTTTGTACAAGTCATAAAATTTTAATAATAAAAACATTTGCTGAAAAATACAGACTATATGGTTGTTAACGCCGTTGTCTTTGAGATGACAGTGATTGTTTCGGGATGAAAAACCATACACACAGCGCTATGACCCACATAAAGTTTTTGGTGAAGGTGACCACATTCGGCATGAAATTTTCGTTGTAGCAATTAAGTTTCGTCACCAATAATAAAATGTTATCCGGAATGTATGAAATATTTTTTAATTAGTCAGTGCATAACAGACGCATAGCAATTTCGTTACCATTATCAAAAGACAACAAAAAATATTATTGATTGCTTGATTTAAATGCGTTTATTAGTAGATCAATCACCACATGGCATTATAGGTTAACAATTCTCGCATGAGGAGAATATACCAACAATACAAAAGCATGAATAAAACCTTAAAAAGAAGAAAGAAAAAGGGGTATACATGTAAAGTACCTAGATCCATGATTACGACCGGTGTATACTGTAGTATGTCGTCGTATTTTGACATAAATCCGGCCAGCGTATTATGCCAGCCATTACGACTGTCGTATTTCAACGTAAATGACGTCGTTTACGATGGACGTAATACGTTGGCTGGGTTTACGTCAAAATACTGTGGTATACGGTCAGAGTTGCAGGTGTTTAGTTGTCAACAATCGTGTTAACTTTTGCAGACAAGATACAACATTGCACTGCAGAATGCAGAGATTAAGACTATTCAAAAGGTATATGTATCAGAATACATAAATATGCCTGTTCATTCGTTTGTCACTCAAGCATCAAATACATTACAAAATATAAATAAATAAATTGCTAACAAACAAATTCCATGAAGAAAATGATGATGATTAGCTATCAGAGTTGTTTTTTTTATCTTGTTCGTTCTTCGTGTGGCAGAATTAATTCACATGTAAACGTGGTGATCTTATTTAGTCTTTTGTTTTAGTAGCTTTAGACTAGATAACAACTGATGCTTAGTTTTCCACCGTGATGAGAGTACAAACTTGATTTTTATTTTACGTTACCAAAAGATGTTTTTGTTTGTGACTAAAGATATCTGTGAAATAAAGAAGGTGGATAGATATGTCTAAATACGACACAGACAAAAAACAGAAGGATATGACTGTGCTTAGATACGGCAACTAGAAAGAACCAGCATATTTATCAAAGGCGTAACCAGGATGTTTAGGCTGTTGGTCTGTGCTCCATAATGCCAAAAAACTCGGTGGGCCTCGGTAGGTCGAACGTTTCCTGCTTGTGCACGAAATCTTTCTGACGGTTGCTAGTTCGGATGCCGTCATTTTCCGTGCTGCTCGTTACCGTGGCTATGAGCTGTTCTCAATAGCACATATTCTGTACGATGGTGGAACGGAGTGAACGAAAGATTTGCATTTCTAACGAGAAGCTTTGAAAAGCTGTTTTACAGCACATCGAGCCTTTTTATCGGCATAAAATAAGTGAGATATACATGTGAAAAAGTCTTTGAACAGTTTCTAGCTGAGTGGGTTCTACAGTTTTTTAAAATTTATCAATCAAAACGAAAGTGGTCACAATAGAAAAAAGTTGCTAAGTGTATAAGAAGTTTTTTCTCAGTTTTCAAAATTTCATAACGATAAGCAAGGATTCATCTCAGTAATATTTAAGAGAGCTTTTTAGGTTGAAATTACGATTTGGTGGCTAGGAGAATTACCATCTTCATCCTCATTAGGCTTTATTTATTTAATTTTATAAATAATAAAACGATTTACCTTTCTTCCTACCACAAAAACAGTAAACGAACGTTTTATAGGGTTGGGAAATAGTTAATTGCTGCAAAGAAGCTATTTTCATGATCAAAATTAAATAAAAGAGTTTTTGCTACGGCAATCGATACCGGCTCGAGAAGGTCTTATATATTTTTGAAAAAACTGTTGATGCACTATCGAAAAATGAATACCTGATCTTCTCAGTATTTATCGTCAGCGCACAAAAGATTCGCAAAACATTCCGAGAATCGATGGGAAGTAGTTGAACTTGATTGCATCGAAGTGTTTGACCTCTAGAAAGTTAGAAGTTGATTACTGCAAAATATAGTGAACATCAATTTTGTAGAGAATTGAATTGCGCATCTTTTGAAAACATATTGAATAATCTATGTTGTATCTATAGGCTGAAATACTCGAAAAACACAAGATATTGCAAAACTTTTGGATCACCCGGTATGGTGAATAGCTTGGCAATATTTGTTTTTAACAAGAAATTTTAAAAACTAGCGAAAATCAAGTTCTTCAAAAACTAGGGTTTTCCGCCTGTTTTCACCTGCTATTAAAAAATTCACAAGTCACTCCAGAAACATCAGAATGGGTCCAAACTTTCAGGATATAGTTAATTCTGTCCGCTAGATGTGATTACAAAATCGAAAAAATTAAAAAATGATGTTTTCGTCCTGATTTTTTTCCGAAATCCTATCGAGAAACCAAAAGGTTTTATGAAGCTTTCTTGTTGATTTCTTACAAACAGAATATAAAACAGCCCAAATACTGTATATCCTGAAGTTTTGAATTCTTTCTGATGTTTTTTGAGTGACTTGTGAATTATTTAATAGCAGGTGAAAACAGGGGGAAAACCCTAGTTTTTGAAGAACTTGATTTTCGCTAGTTTTTTTAGAAACATATACCATTTTTCGTACCATACTCGACGCGTGTATCTACACGAATTTATTCAACAAGTAGTACAAGTAGAACATATCATCCATTTCCTTTTCGCTTTTTTTAGAACCCTTTCATCAATTTTGTAGAGATTTGAATTGCGCACCTTTTGAAAACATATTGAATAATCTATGTTGTATCTAGGCTGAAATATTCGAAAAACATAAGATGTTGCAACACTTTTGGATCACCCGGTAGTCGAAACTTATGTTTCCATGCATTGCTGGTACTCATTGACTGAAATGAAGAGCAGTCCTAGGGCTCCCAGGAAAATCTCGTCCCCTGCGTAACCATGACAGATGAAGCTCTCGCTTAGGTTCTGTTTTGTGGAGAATACTTCAGTCTATCTATTCATGAAAAGAAATCAATATATTGCAATGTCAAATTTTCCAGTTAGAAAGCGGTTTTTGAAAAACATTTCTAAATATTTTTGGCTTACGAAAACATGTGGTTAGGTCTTGCCTATCGGACAGCGAAAACCGCCAGTCTTCATCTACATTCGTTGAACAGTTATTCAAAGAATGGCCCCCGGTTTTATATTTTGGTTTTGATAATAGATTGGAACAATCGAGTAGTCGAGTATCGAGTCCGAGTATCTCACGTATGACTCGGACTCGATGCATACCTAATTCAGACTATGCATATGGTTCTTGGTTCATCGAAAAGAAAAACTTGTATAGCACATTTATAGTATATTGAAAATACACGATAACTTTTGTTCTGGCGCGAGAAAACATGGAAATTTGTTTTTCGAATTTCTAGATATATATTATCAAGATTAATGTCAGTATCTTGTACTCCATTCTCTTTCGTTTTCTAACTGTAGTTGCAATGAGCAATGTAATTATTGCAGAAGTAGATGATCAAAGAGTGACACACGCAGATCTTCAAACATTAGAAATCAACATGTGGTGCACTCGTTTGTTGTCAGCCAGTACAAACGCTTTAATAAGGCAATAGATCAGTGGCTGTCACATTATGAAGCGAAAAGGCGACAACGGAACAACATCGACTGCGGCGTCTACTGTTGCCAGTTCGCGAAACGTTTGTTACAGAAAGAACCTCTTGATTTATCAGATCACCAAATGAAAAATTATTGTCGTGAAGTATTGAATGAGGTCATTTCAGGAAAACTATCATTACAGACATAAAATTGTTAAGTTTTTCTTTCTTGTAACGTTTTCGAATGTTTTGTTTGTCGGTGAGTTGCAACTTGCTTTTTTTCTCGTTATTTCGATATGTGCAACAGATGTAAGTGGCCTGACTGAAGACCGGATAGACGAAAGTCAAAGTAAGGCGGTTTTCAGTGATTGAGGGTGTATATTGTATTGATTCTTTGTCGTTAAGATACGAATGCTGAGTTACGAGTTACTGCTGCAGTGACTCGTATCGTAGATGAATGTGTGAAGTACATTGACAATCATAAGAATGCGCGCATTTTGACTGTTACTTTCGTTAGCGTGCGGAATGTTTTTTCATTAGCTGCTGATTTACTCAATTTGATATGTTATCATTTTTATCCCGTGGTTTCCTAGACGTTACTCTTCTATATTTATTTGTGTATATATAGATTTTCATATTAATTGTTATTTTCGAAGAGAATCATTTTAGATATAAGTTTATTACATTTTGTTTTTCAAGCAATCGGAAGATGGGAAGTAGCAGTGAGGAAATAAAAGTTGGTGAGTCGTGCAACACGACACCGACCGTTGGTATGTTACTCAAATAATTTTCTCCTTTTAGAACAAAAAAAAGCACCATGGATTCCACATGGAGTGATCATGGGAAAACAACGCGACGATGACTGGTGCCATGAACAAGATAAAAAATGGGAACTAAAATGTAGAGCAGAAGAGCGACGTCATCGTTATCAGCAGCAACGTCTTCGTCAACTAGAGCGACTTCTTCGTCTTCAAGAAAGAGATCGACGTAAGTGCAGTAATTTTCGTTAATATTGAAATCATTACATACTTTTATTTCAGAATATTGGAACAAAGTTATGGCCGAACAAGTTACCGTTCCTGCATCAAAAGATACTTTTTCTGTAAGTGTATCTCCGCGTTTTATTAATTAAAAATTCAAGAACCAAATACAATTAGGCTTCGAAATTTTCAAATAATCGTCAATGAATAACTGTTTTACCACTAATTATTTGATTCATTTTTACTATGATTGTCAATAAAACTGAATGTCAAAAAACGTCTTATCTGTTTTTAGAATAAAGCTGCGCGATTTTTCTGTCTCGTAGACCACATGCATTTATTCGTTCCTAGCTTATATCTTTTTCCATTCTAGATAAACTATCTTGGCACAAACCGCAATCGATTTTTATTCCTTTCTTTAAAAAATTAACGGTTTTAGCACCATAATATGTTCAGATACAAGCTAACATGTATTCCTAATTATCAAACTCGAAAACAAGTTATAAGCAAGTTACGACAAGAGTTTGATCATGATTCGCAAAATCGATTGGTGTATATGCTTGTAGCTGAAATTGCAGCATCCTCTCATTGCAGTAGACATGTTAAAGTCCAGCTAGTATATGCTAAACAAATGACATTCACTTCTGATAAATTAGCAAAAGCTTTTAATTGCAAAGGAAAAATGCAAGTTGAACAACTCTGTAATAACTGGAGTTTCAATAAGACCATCAGAATTAATAGACCAATAACAGAGTTTGGACTGCCGGATGCTATAAAACCGTTATCATTAAATGAACCAGCGGCTGATGATGTGCCTTCTACGCTTAATTCAGTGATAATCGTTTCAACGGAGCTTTTCATATGCTCAATGTTTTTCTAACCGCATTCAATGAGCTGGTCTCTGTTACTAATTCTAGTTACCTAACTAACTATTTGAATAATTATTGCAAAGTGTTTGTATTTTTCTAACTGCATTTGACGAAGTGCTTGATCAGTTAAGTGATTCAAAACGGCCTACACTTCATAGCGTTATACCATTGAGGCAATTATTGATTAAAGTTCAGTGTTTTGACCAGCCAGCTAAAAGTATTATAGCGTGAGAAAAAGAATGTGATAATTATTTGAGTTCAACGGTAACCATCGATAAAGATGAGGGCGAAGGTGTCCTTAGTTACTGGATAACACATGGCAAAGAATTTCCAACTATATGTTCATTGGCTCGTGAAATACTCGCCATTCTAGCTTCAAACACAGAGGTCAAAAGACTATTTTCTTCTCCAAAAAACACAATTACTGATCGTCGAACAAGATTAGGAACAGAAAAAATTAACAAGTTAATGTTTCTTAAAAAAAATTTGTCTTTATTAAATCGTTTCGATACATAAATATCGATGGATAAAAGTACTGGAAAGCGAAAACAGTCAAATGGAAATGATGAGCATGGACAATTAACAGTCAAGAAGCAGAAACTCTGTCAAAGCGATGGTAGTTTTTACAGATAGTGAAAAGTAAAAGACTTAACAAAAGACTATTTTATATTTATCTTTTTGTGATAAACGTCTAGCAGGCTCCGAAATAGATTTTGTCTTCTTACTTTTTTTGAATAAAAAAACCAAAGTTGTCTCAGAAAAATGATGCAAGCTTTAAGGGAGCCATCCCGCAGGGCTGGAACCGTCCCGCAGACCTCTAATTAGTGTTCCTTTAGAAGTCTATTTTTTAGTTAGACAGTAATATGTGTGATATCACTGTTGACTTTTCGATATCGCTACTTCTTCTCGCTTATCTCCGTTGCTCCTGCTCGACCGGAGACACAAAGTGAAAGCAATTATGTGCACTGCTCTTCCTTTCCCTCCATAATTACGTGCAGAAGATAACAAGGAGAACGAAAGATGTTTCTTTGTGCGTGAAGGACGACTCATATCTCAACCTTGTTGTTCCTGTAAATAATACCCGAAGTGCACACCACTCTTAAAATGCAACTACGTCGATATGAATGAGTCGACGACAGTATTGTGAGCCCTTGCTCGATACTTTCTGAAATTTTTCCTATCCAAAATATCCGAACGTTGGAAAATGTCAGGGTGGAATAAGATGAGGGCATAAATATGATTTAAAGATAAATGTTCTCTATAAAACAGTTATTTGGGTACTTCGAAATTAGAGCTTTTTTTCATGGCAAAGTGGACCCTGGGCTACAAAATGGATAAATTTTGGTCGAAAACCCACCGGAGCTTCTCTAAACGGCAAGTTGGTTTCATAGAAATCTTCTTTTAAAAAATGCCCAGAAAATTAATTGATAATTTTCTTTCTATCACACCTTGGCGTGTTTCAGTCATAGCTACATGTTGACAAAAAACATTACTTATTAGCGCGTCGCGTTCTCTAGTTATTCCAAAAACAACAGAGTCCATTCAATTTTGGCATCGATAGTAACTGGGTTAAGTTCGGTGTCATTGTCTTAAATATTCGAGGCCACCTCATCCATCGTCTTTGATATTTGTAATGAAATGTTGCTTAAAAGTTAAAACATAGGTGCGGTTGTGGGTCGAGAATAGTTCGTATCTATTCGATCGATCTCAGATAACCATGGGGCTTGACATTTGGCTTGGGCATCACAGATGTGCTATGTCATACTTTTCGATCCCACCGGACATTTCTCAAACAGTTAGTTTTATTAAAAATAAAATAAGACTAATATATCCCTGACAATTTTTTAGTTGAAGCCATATCTTATCAATGAATACAAAGGTGAAAAGTATACCGAGCAACAAAAATAATATATTTTTATCTCTTCTTAATTATTGCTAAGTGCCTTTTTATTATTCTTAGGAAAAGGTGTTTGTATGCGACTTTTCGTCTTACAAGTGAACATCTTCTCTAGAAATAGACGTGATTGCTTCAGTGCCTACTGTTTTTCCAACAATACTTTAATAATTTATTCTTCATTTCCTTTTTGTCTCTCATCATTATGACACCTTTATTTCAAACAGAAGCAGAAGTTTGAAAGATTTTTAAAACTTAAATGTTCAACACTAAGCTATACTTCATCAACTGTTTACGAGTTGACTTTGACTGTATTTAGAATATAATCAGAACTTAAAGGCCATTTCTACAATTCGACGTCGTCCATAAAGGATGATCCTTTCAATGGATGATAATTAACGGACACGAATCTGGAAATCTTTCGTTTTTATCAACTTCTGTATCATTCAGCTGGTGATGCCTGTGTATCTATCTTCGAATCTTACAGGTTTTTCGACGTGTTTATGAAATGTTATAGTAGTCATTGCAGATAAGACACGATCTGTTACCGCTCAACCCATTATCTCAGGTAAAAAACCAAGCGGAACTGTTAGAAAACTAAACACGGAGTTGTCGTTTTTAAACTGACCATTTTGTAGTGCATATCAAGTTACATATGTCAATATACTTTTATAACTATTTAATTAGTCATAACTAAGTTTCAGTTTTTCCAAGATTAGGGTATTTGCACACGCGCATAGATGTATGCCTTTAATCCATACTTCAACGAACAGTTATGCTTACAAATTTCTACAGATTTTAAAAGAGCTCAAAACGCTGTCTCATGATGCTATACTTACCTGATGTACTCCAAACAAATTATAGCGAGTGAGAAATCTGCCCGAAAAAAAGACCGAAGGCATGTTCAAAACTAGCAGTTGATTGGGTTTGGAGTAGATACTTTCTGGTATTTATGACACAATTTTTGTGTCTAAATAATGTGCCGTTATGGAGATACATGAAGTTTAAACTAACAGTTTCTCAAGGTTTGAACTTTTCAAGATTTTTCGTGGAAATTAAACATCTCAGTAATGAAACAACTTTTAAACCTGCCGTTGTCGCCGAAATTCATGAAAATGTTTTTGATGGTAGCCCTAGCGAAAATTCTTGGATTCAAAAAATAGCAAGATTTTGGGGCAAGAATGTCCCAAGATCTTGTCATTTCTTGTGCAGGAAACAATCTTTTTACCATCTTGCTCAAGAAATGTATTTCTTGCCTTGCTGGCAAGAAAAAAGCAAAAAAATGAAATGCCAGGATCGAGATTCGAACTTGCAATGCAGTGAAATAGTCTAGTTTATAATATGCAGACTTCCACGCCTTATGCCACTCGGCCATTCTACTTCGGAATCTTCTTCTCTTTCACCAGTCTGAATATGAGGCAGAATCTCAAACTTATCGAAAAATAAATAATTAGGATGTATCTCATCAAGCAACAAAAAATGTTGGAAAAAGGCTGGAACAAAAAACGTTCAAATTAGATTCTGCATCGAATAGAACCCATAGAGCTCTGTAAAAACTCATAATTAGCAAGGAAAAGTAATTACTGTTTTTCTCATCAGTGAGACACCGTAGCATACAAGAAAAAATGCACAAAATCAAACTCTAAACAAAATAGAACACCACCGATTATCCTATAGTGTTCTGAAAAAGCGTTAATTAGCGAGAAAAACTCCAATTTCGATAATTAGCGTTTTTTACCCAGAAGGAAGTATTTGGCAAATGTGGTGCCGCAACCAAAAATGTCAGAAATTAAATTTCGCACATTTATCTGCTGGTATCAACTTTGTACGATATTTTCGCTACAAGAAATAACTTTCTTGCAGGTAATCGGCAAAATAGATTTTTCTTGCAACAGCATAGTTTCTTGCATCAAGACACACCCAAGAAAATTTACATTTTGATTCTTAGCCAAGAAATGTACAAGAGAGCTCAAGAATCATTTCTTGCTAAGAAATGTTCCAAGATCTTGCTTTCTTGGCTTCAAGAACTTCCACTAGGGTGATGACCAATTGAGCAGTGACATACGGTAATAGGTCCTGCCTTATCTGCAATGGCTCATAAGTGAAAGAAGAAGAGACTTCCTGTAAAAATAAAGAGACGATCACCACTTATGAGTCGAAAACGCTTAACTCCCGTCCCCCCCGGTCAGATGCTGATCTCAGAAACGATCAGTCCCATATAAGCACAGCTTCCAAAGGATATTAGCCTTACAGAAGTACACTGCGATAAAATTTTCACTTATTAGCGTTCGCGAGGGAAAATGCGGACATTTAATGTTAAAAAGATTTGTCAGTTATGTTAAACGACGAAGAGCTTTAATTGATTTTAAGTTAAAGTTAAAGATCATGG